TTCATTGGTTAACATTACTTTTTGACTGATGTCACTGTACCACTAGAGGCAAATAAAAATCATTTGATTACAGAGAAACTATTATTGGACCATTTATTATGAAAAGCACTTACCTTAGATACTGCTTCAAATGTTGCTGGTCTAGAAAAGGATAAAAAGATGAATGAAAAACAAAAACAATGACACATTGAATACAAAGCTAGAGCATCATTACCTTGAAAGATCAAAGACAATTACGGCAGCAATTCTATCATCCAAAAGACATACACAGTTACATCGCATACAAAATATTTACTGAATTGAAAAATGGTGAGATTGAAAAATTTGTATAACAATTATACCATGCTGCATAACCGCTTATTCATGCCAAAAGCTTTTCTACTGGTACATGAACATGACGCTACTTAAATCAGAAAAATAGATACTCACGCATATTTATAATAAACTCTGGTCATGTGACCAAATCGTTCATGCCCAGCTACATCCCTAGAATTGGAAAAAAAAACATTACAAACAACTAGCTAATGATTAAAAAGTCACCATGCATGGAAAATAATGACCAACTAACAATATTACCAGAGTTGCAAATTTATTCTTGTACTTTCATCCCAATCAATAACTTTTTGTGCAAAGTCAACACCTATCGTTAGTTTGTAGTTGGGAGAAAAATATCCTGCATAAACACAAACAAAGAAAACAATGCCATGACTGTTATAAATGTGCCAATTTTGTGKCAGTGACTAATAACTATAAGRCAGATTTACATGATGTGACCTTTTGCATGTGAYTTGAAGTGTACATGCCATCCCTACRACATGTTATAGGAATTTGAATATGGGTTCAAAAGGGACAAGTTGTAGTTCACATGCATCTAATTTAGACTTGTAAGTGACCATTCTTTTTAATCAGCTGTTAGGTATTAACTATCTATGCTATATGTAATGGACAAAGGTTTATTACTCTTGAGTGCCAATCTGTGAACCAAATAGTAAATATAAATAACAGTAAAATTGGAAAAAACTCATTGGCATAGGTCATTTTCTATCATTTTTGTTTCACAGGATACAAACAAAAATTGAGAAACGATCTTTATCGATAATTTTCAGTTATTTTAAGATAAAAGTATAATTTATTCAGAAGATGGTGCCATTTTCTATTTACAATTAATATTCCAAACCGGAAATGAAGAGATCCTACTTACTTAACCATGCAAGATTTATTAAAGAAATATCTTGAAAAATATTCCGATTAGAACATTAAATGCAAAAGATACAATACATCTAAATAAAACAAAATAATAACAAATATATGTTACAATTATAAAGTAGCCAAGTAGGTTAGCAACAAAAACATCGGCAAAATATCCGTGATCATCAAGATTTGCAAAGTTTATCTAGTACTTGATTTGCTCTTCCACAAACCTTCTGTATATCTTCTTATTATAGATGTCTTTCCAAAGCAACCACAAAAAGAAGGAATAAAACAACCAGTTAGTACAAAAGAAATGAGGAAAAGTTTTGTAAACATCAAGAAAGCACGAAGTGCACCGGCCAAGAGCAGGCCTGCATCCGTGCGGCGCGTGATCTCACCTTTCCTAAAAAAATCAAATTAATTCAAGATTAAAAAAAGATCATTTATTCATAAGGTCATAATTTAGTTTCTTACCTACTCCATATTCGCCGATTACTAAAACTTTGTACAAATTCTCTTGAACACTGTCCATAATCTCTTCATCATAATCGTCGTCCATAAGACCGGGAATATATCAAGAGACTGGCACTAGCGTTTTATATTTCTACGAATGAGCACGTGACACTCTAAGGAAAATGAAAGACCTCTGAATTTGCCTTTATTTTCATTGGATGATTACACAGTAACATTTGGCTAGTTTTAAGAGTCTAAACTAAATTATAAGTCTAAATGGAAACAACAAATAAAATGAATCTTTGGTGTATTTTATTTGAAATAATGCATTAATAATAATAAATGATCTATTTAGAACAAATGTATCACAATGTCCTTTAATATATTTTCATTCATCCATACTTTGTGCCGTCAGTCATAAAAACAGTGATTACCATTACATTGCTTGCATTGCCACTTGACCAACACAGACAAAAAGTAATAGGCAATTAGACTGTCATCAATTAAAACCAATGTCATTCTTTTCAACCACCCAGCAGATCAAAGTGTATTAGTTGATTGATAGCAGTCCATTGCTAATCAATGATAATCCTGAGTTTTGTCAGGATCGGCAGCCCATGCAGCAATACAAATATTTATGTCAGCTCTGACATACAAATGAGACTTTGAAGCTAACAGCATTGTTACAAGGGTATGTAGTGGTACTTTATAAATGCTACAATGGTTATTATAAATTGTAGGTCTGCAAAACACATTGAACAGATGCTATACACCATAATTTCTATACTATTATCTTCAACTTTTGAATAATGTTGCTTGACAAACAATTAAATTTTTTTGCCTACCTTGTCTACTTTCAAAACTACCTATTTTCCAGTGAAGTGATAATTAAACTGATCACCAAACTTATCTAAAACTCTTTTGGTAGCTAAACTATCCATTTCAGCTGCAACTCTCTTCAATGAAGCCTTGTTCAGCACTTTCTTCTCTAGGCGACTTTGAGGWGATTTTGAAGACTTCTGCAGATCTGTCAATCTAGCATACTTTTCTTTCCTGGATAACTTCCTATCTRGATTGTCTGCTTTCCTTGCTTTGCRCTTTTTCACTTTTTGGTTCAGATCAATCCCAGTGGCGGCTTCAATGTCATTCTGTAAGTCTTGCCACATCTCAGTGTTTGACGTTGATGGAGCAGAAGATGTGGATGTAGAAGAGCTCTCAGCAGCAGGCCTTCCGTTTTCATCTCTAGCAATTATGACTCCGTGGAAAGGACATTTGTATCGATCTTGTCTCGGACATAGTTTCCCACTAGGAAGAGGAGCACGGCATGACCATTTCACTGGCTCAAACTTACCACCAAAAAATATTTTTCTCTTAATCATAGATCCCTTGGCTTCCTCAAATGTCTGTTCTGTTTCTGCATCTTTTGATGCCCAGAAGTTATGAAAGTTATGTGATCTGATTATCTTGGGTGGTTCATAGTTGGGGTCGTCCCAGTGGTAAAGGTCCATGTCAAATTTAATGACTGGTGCTTTTTCAAGAAGCTTTTTCCTTTTACTGTCGTCYTCTTTGGTAGACAAAGAAGAAGCTGCAGAAGTAGAAACTGATGTTGATGATTCAATTTGCTTTGTAGTTGCAATATCACCATATTTTTTCCTTGCTTCAAGGAGAGCTCTTGCATGTGATGTGGGATCTTCAGCATCCTTCAAGGTAAAACCATGTTGGCTGAGGAAGTCTGCATCTGTTTGTTCTGTGGTGCTTGATTCTTCTTTAGATGAACTGTCTAAGGGCTCTAATCCATACTCAGTTCTTAGCTCAGGAGGTATGAACTCAATACCTTCTTTCTCTGGCACATCAACCATATCATCATCATCATCATCATCATCATCATCATCGCATTCAACTTCTTTATCCTCCTTTACTATAATTGGTGTGATATCAAGTTCAATAAACTTTTCCTTGGCAGATACAAGCTGTCTTTTTAAGTCAATYACACTTTGAATCCTCTTTTGACTGTAACCTGTTTTGGAGAAGGTATTYAACCATTGGTTTACCATTGGCAGGTATTTATGAGTGATTTCTTTGTTCATTTCTCTAGTTGTTTCTAAAACAATCGCGTTATCTTCAGTTTCATTCACTGATGGCTGTAGTTCATTAATCTTAATGTTTATTTCATAGGTTCTAGAGCCAAGGCCATGATCTTTGAGATCGTTAGCAACAGTATCATCCAAATTATCATCACTTTTGTTGACATAAGAATCATTATTTTCGCTGGCATYTTGACCATTGTTATCTTCTRTTKTATTAACACTGTCAACATTTTGTTCACACTCTTCATTTGTAGCAGTTTCTGTTTCAGAATTCCCCTTCTTTTCTGTTTGGGTGCTCACTAAAGAGCAAACATCTGCTGTCTCAACGTTGTGAACATCATAATCGTCTGGATGTGGAAGCAGTAGCTTAAAACAGTTGTTTATCTCCGTTATACAGAGTTCTATGTGTCCTAATTGTTCTGCTATCTCATTTTCAACTCTATCAATTTTTTTCTTTAATATTCTCTGTTTTCTCTCCTCTCTGTCCTGAGCATGCCTCCTTTCAACTAGTGTCCTGTTTCGAACAGCATCAAATTCCACATGTTTTATTCGTTTTAGGTAGTGATAGCCAAGGTCCAGCTTTTTGTAATGGCTTCCATAACTCTGGTGCCAGCTTTCAATTGCATCAACTGCTTTGTTTTTCAAAGTCTTGGCAGTGCTAGATGGAGGTGGCAGARGCTTCTTTGCATCAGATGCAACAACCAGTTCAAGAAATACTTGAAATTCTGATAATAAAAGCTCTCTAAATACATGAGATCTAGTAAACAGTTCAGAAATTATTTGGARAGACGAAAGTCTAATTTCTGCGTGGTATTTCTTCAATTGTGTCATCACCAAATGAAAAGCATGGTTGATATACGAATTTGAGGTTTTGCAAATAGATTTGAGTCTTTTGAGTTGGGTTTCATCGAGTGAGGGTTGTCCTGTAGTTGTCATGTCCTCGATAAGTTCTCCTAGCTCTTCAAGAACTTCTACATTGGCAGCTGACATTTTTGATCTTTCTTCCATAAGTTTAAACAGAACCAGTATAGATGAAACACAATGATCAGCAGAAAACTTCACGATGATTTTTGAGCTGACTTCGCTTATTTTTCAGCTGTTTGCACACCTCTAAGACTCATGGGAGAATTTGTTCAATCTTATATGTCTTTCTATTGGCTCATAAAAACAAGCAAAAAATACTACAGTTATTTTGATTGGATAAAAAGTTATATTTACATTGCCGCTGACAAGATACAGTCGGCTCACATATTTTTGAAATACTCAAATTTAAAATGGCGGGCAGATTTGAAGAAACGAAATAGTAGTAAACAATCCATAAAGCCATGGTTTTGGCGACGTGATTCAAAATGATACTTTTATGATTGGCGTTGAGAAGCAAACTACATTGGAAGATGGAAATCTAAGGTTACATTTGAAATATTTAGTGAAGATATGAAGCCTTCAACGTCAACTAGTCTAAGAACTCGACCGACAGCACAACAAAGGGAATTGCTCTCTTTTACGAACGCTGCAGTCCAAGCTCTTACAGAACCAACAACTAAAGACAATCAAGTAAAATCAGTTAGTTTGCCATCGAAAGAAATCTCAGTTGATCGTCAAAATGGATCGTCCTCCGAGCTGTCTTTCAACACCAGTGGAAATGATTCAAGCTCATTTAGTGATAAGCGAGCTGTTCTTAAACTTGGTACAGATTCAAATTCTTCATCGAGTGTTACAGGAAACAGGGATGTAGACAAAATGGACTTGTCGTCGTTAGATAGCTCATTCAATACAAGTACAGCAGTTAGGGTAAGAGTTCCTTCAAGTTTGCTACGGGAGATCAAGGCTCCTGTAAATAGAAGTATCGATGGCAGTGGAGGTAATTCCTTTGCAGGTGAGTTGACTACATTAAGAGATTCACATCACCTAAAATACTTTAAACGTGATCAGTTTGCTACCAATATCTTATGACCAGCATTGCATGGCAGTGCTTTGATAACTGCGTATAATCAATGTACATACAAAGCATTTCTTGTCGTATACCACATCAAGAATCCTGTAAAAACATGAACAACACAGATGCTGGATAAATGAGCAAAAACTCTAATTGGAGGCATTCGCAGGTGTGAAATAATATGGCAGCAGCAAATTATATAAGTGGCATATCAATCAAGCTCTGTTATACATAGGTAAACTATCTTAATTGCAGGTTAATCCTAAATATAGTTTTCTTTTTTTCAAATTATATTAGACACACAACCAACACCAAAAATAGTTCGCCATGTCAATGGTCCATCAGCTTGGGTTTCCATGTCAACCAGTAGTCCACTTCACCTTCCTGAACATTCAGTATCATCACAAAGGGAACCCACCTCTACTACTACAGTATATGCGCATGAGATCCTACAGGCTAATGATGTAGATAAGGGATGGAAGCAATCTCAAAAGCATAAATCCCATTTGCAATCCAGAGAAGTTGTAAATGAACAGGTCAGTCAAGAAAAACAAGAGGAGCAAGTGAAATCCATTTCTGATTGGAGGAAGGTAATCCAAAATTGTTTATCAAGAATGTAAAAAGCAATATTGTTCTTTGGGCTAATGCTATAAAGGGTTTTGCAGGGTCATGATGGTATTGGTTTAAGCCAAGGTGACCGTGTTACAGGGATTCTTTTTGGTAATACTGGAAGATCAGGTAACAATATGCTGAACCCTTTTTTCCAACTTTGTTTTTACTATCATTAGCATAATAATGAGAAAGRCTTCTTCTTCTTTGACTTCTTCAAAGCATCTTCCATAGAACTTCTCAGTTTTCAAAATGCCTGTTATCCATCATTTGCAGATTCAGTTCAAGCAAAGTCATTTACTTTAAGTCAAAGAGAGAGACTCCTAAAGGAAGAATTCACGAAAAGGTAATCCTCAAAATACTTTGCTTAATACTTTTTTTGTTCTTTAGCTGTCAGTGTCTTACGTTGCCAACTAAAAGTTTGATTTTTCTGATTTAGACAGGACAGAAAAAGTGCCCCAATCAAACGCTCAGTTCAGCCAACAATAATAACTTCCAAGCAGGCACAAAAACCAGATAAAGAAGAATTCAAGATTGCTGAAGCTCCCTTGGAAAGCCAAGTTGCCAGTGCAGCTGCTATTGCTGCTGCAGCYGCCTCTGCTGCAACTGCTCCCTTCTTGCAAGTTGATGCAAGGCTGAGAAAATTAGAGGAGCTCCAACAGCAGCTCCTGAGTGCACAGGTTTGATATATTTTTAATTGATAMTTTAACTCAAATTATTATACCATTATCATCATAATATAGGGCCATAACTTCATGGGATGTTTCTCCACAGGAATCCCAAATGAAAAAAAGACCAGTCAATCCCTACTCTGKTCCTTCCTCTGGTAATGACCATGTTAACGTYCATTATGGACCCTCTACTGGTGTARCATCACCTGTAAATACAAAACCAAATTATCCTCAAGTAGTCACATCRGACTATCCAAAATATTCACTGCCAACTGACAGGCACCCAAGTACTGCTATACCACAGGCTGCCCAGCCTTCATTCATGCATCAACTAGTACAGGAACATCCATTTGTCTCTCCTCCATCTCAAAGCCAGCATACTCAACCACAAAGATCAATAAATCAAGATGTAAACCAGACAAGACATTTCTTGCAAGCAGGCATGCAGCAGCAGCAACCTGCTAAAGATAACGGCTCTCAACAAGCATTTAAACATCAAACCACTACACCCTACAATGGCTATCCTTCATCTTCAAATAAAATACAGCCATCAAAGATGCAGGAAATGGTAAACTCTCATCCAACAGCAACACAAACTGAAACCGTCTACACTCAGACTGTCCCACAGACATATGTCCCAGCAAAACAGCTACCTCAACATGGTGAGCAATAGTAAAGAACTTGTCTTTTCCTTGATATGTTTATTTCATAGGTTGCTTTTGTAATTCCTTACCAAAAAGATGTTTCCATTGGATTATTTGATTCAACCAGACTAGGAAGTAAAGGAGCATATAAAGTAAAACAACTAGTTTATACAACTGCACACACCATATGTTTTGCTGTAAGGTTTTGGCAAGCAGCAATTCAAGTTTAAAATCTTTGCAGTGTCTATAAAGCAGTTAGTAACACTCGTAGTAATTGGATACACWAATCAATCAATCATTTCATCAYTGGCTTTCTTTACAACATTGACATGAAATGTTGTTATAGAATTATCAAGAAAGCCTTTGAAAAACACCAAGACACAGACAACACCCCAGGACTCCTCTTTGTCCTCCAGCGATTCTCCACTCCAGACCCCACTTCCTCGTAAGAAACCACCAAGACCAACGCCACACTCTACMAGTAAAGGAATTAAGTATTTAGACTTAACATCTAAGAAAAAGAGAGTACATTTTGATTATGCAGACAAGATTGATCCTCTATTGTCATACAGTAAATATGAACCCATTGATTATAGTGGTAAGTCTTTTCAGAAGCTTCTCACTTTTCTAGTTTTTATGTACTTTGGGTTCCCTGGGAAAAAATAGGGAAGAGAGGGGACTGGGAGAGGGGAATGAAAAAAGTCTTGTTACTCTCTAGCTGATTTAACACAGGAAACCCGTTATTTTTAGAAAGGAAATACTCCTGGAGAGGAGGCTACAGTCATCCATTCAGTTGAATCCTTTATTTTATCTATTATTATGAAATTCACCCAACTTTTGTCTGCATTGCATTTGTTCAGCTATTCATTTCATTTATTTATTCATTAATCCATTTATTCAAACCATCATTCGTTCTTACATCCATTTTACCTTTATTTTCCATTCACTCATTAATCCATTTAACCATCCATTCATTTCCCCATTCGTTTGGGTATCTATACATTAATTTGTTTGCTCGTTCATTTACCCGTCATCTGATCCACGTAATAGCAACGTTATCACTGAAAGAAAGAAAAAAAAAGAAAGAAAGAAAACGTTGTCACAGAAAATAGAGAGAACATTTTACTTCAGCAAAAATACTTTAAAAATAATTTATATGAACTAAACACAAGAAAGCGTCAAGGACGGGTGATCTTTTTGTTCTTGTTGTTTTTTTAATTTATTCTTTTTTTTTGAAGTTCAATTTTTTTTCCAATTCTAATTCGGTGTACATGTTTATTGCTCATTTTTAAAAGAGAAATCAAGATATGGAAGAACTGGTCCCACACAACACGTGACTGCTGCATCTTTAACGGCTCCATTAAGGTTAGTCATATGATATTTCTTTGGAAAGAGTTGCAAATGAGGATTAAAGTGTTTTTGTGCATAYAGCTTGCGTAGGAGGTCTTACCACAGCTTGTTTACGGACTGCGTGCCTCCTCGYTGTGACAAAACCTACTCAGACAGAAAAACAATTTAGGGAAAATGTTTCCCCACGTTGTGCCCACTCCTTTCCTACAATGTAGTGTTGCAAATCGATRTCTCAAAATATTTATTGGTAACATTTGGATTGTTTAATGTACAAAGATATTTAAAACATTTAYGCTTATCATTGAAAACTTTTTTCCTGTTTTGATGAAATTAAAGAAACGTATCTAAATCGTGAAAATATAATTTTATATTATTTTGTACATTTGACAGCGTTTGTAATTAGTTCAGTCTTAGGGCAGCCTCACACCATGACGTTTGCAAAAGCAGAGAGATTTTTGTACGTGTGAACGGAAGCAGAAACTTAAGAAAATATTCTAATGTTTTTGTTAGTGCTGAATTTGATTATTACGAGTGTAAATCATGGTGACGTAAGAAGATGCTAACGTTTGTGTCAAGTGTGAACCGCCTCTGCTTCTGTTTATGCTTGTGTCAAAGTGTGAACCGCCTCTGCATCTGTTTGTGCTTGTGTCAGTGTGAACCGTCTATTACTGTGACTTGATACATTCGTCATGATTCTCAATACAATAATTTACATTTACATCTGAACATAAGATATTACGTCGGTTTTTTCCCTATAACAACCTAATATAGGGCTCTATTCAGGGCAAAAACGTATATTGTAATTTCGCACTATCGCTACACTAGGAAATATTTCGACAATACATGGAAGTAAACATTTTCACAAAAGGGCTGACTAGCTTCTTGTTCATATAGAATTGCAAAGGCTTTTTTCTTCTTGTTTTGTGCGTTTACGACTGAGAAGCTTTTCCAATAAGACGATACTATCCGTCAGCTATTTTCGATTCGCTCTATGGGATTGAACGGAAGGGCAAGATTATCTTGTTATGCCCTGTATCTTGTGCCTAGAAAAACATCTTTAGAAAGCKGAAGAGTGAATTTAAAACTCCAATCGCATTTCACGCTCAAGCATGGTATTCAATAATAAAATTGTAAAAGGTTAAAGCAGTGATCTGAATCTTGGTCACCCTTACTCTCCKTAAAACGCCCATTAGAACAACATAAATAGACATGATAAAGGCATACTAGAAACAAAAGCTGTGTTTCCTGTTGACAGAATTACTGTTGGTTAAATCTGCTGATAAGAATCATACGCCTAAGCATCGCCCAGGATCAGAGTACGTGAGAGCTATTGTGGGCGAGCTTTTATTCGTTTATTCATTAGTTCACATGGGCTTTCATTCTTTCAATTTTTTCTTTATTCATTTTTCAGTTGTGTATTCCTTTTTATCACTCGTTAATTTAACCGTTCATACATGTGATCTTTCATCCATTCATCCCGGCATCCATCCATCTCTTTATGCATTTACTGATTCATATATTTATGTATTGATTACCACACCCATCTCGTATTTATCCATTCGACATTCCCTCTACATAGTCAAATCCTTTCAGAAACCAATATGTCACCGACAAACATCGGTTGCATAACTCGATTTCTTTGTACTTTGAGTGGGAAACGGAAACTTCACATGTGTCGTATCACGTCATCATCCATTCCCCCGTCCATTGTCTACGGACACCTCTATAAAGGACACCCTTTATAATCTAAGTACACGTATAGGATTTATATTATGAATRACTTGACATATTGGACAGTTTTGCATATTCTTTCAGGTACAAATGTCGTTTTTTAAAGATTTTTTTGATGCTTGATTCTTGGTTATTTATACTTCATCCGAGATAAACAAAAGTAACGCGGAAATCGAAACTGTAGACTGGAGGAAAGCTGCTCTATTGATTTTTCTAGTTTACACCGGTTAAAACGGAAATATGGGGGCGTGGGCTTTCATTTTCTCGGTTTCTTTAACATTTCTATTAGGCTATCGCGTGGGAATATGACATCGTTATCTTTCCCTATTCCTGCTCTACCTTCAGGATGTCACGTAAAATTTTACGTAAGCTGATCTAATACGTAAACGTTACATACACAGGAAGACCAAGAAAAATTGCTCTCCAAATGTTCCTGCATATTGTTATTATCCAAGAAATATTGAAATATGATAGTACTTTGTTCGAAAGGGCCATGTGTTCCGGTCAAAAGAACCTGGAAATTGTCGAAATATGTGTCTGGAATGAGAKCAGACAAATAATAGTGGRGGCTCTMCACATCGCACGCATAATGTCAAGAAACCMCACAGTTTATCATTAGATTTGTTAAGCAAACTTCCTTGGGTCAAACATTCTGTCGGCGGTGCATGTGGTCAAAACAGAGTTTTGAAATGATATGTCAGTAGATGTTATTTATGACTCTCAAAAGGTCACATAGCACTCTGGAGTGTGGGGATTCGTCTGCATACCGTGGTTATGTTGTCCACGGAAAGCATGTTATTTTACCGAGTGGTGTTATATTGTTGTATATGGACCACAGATTATGTCTACAATGAATTATTTGTTGTTTGGGGGTGTTTAGAGGAACCCCAGRACCCCAGACTATGGGGGCAACGCCCTTTCGAGGCGACTTTACATTACTGTCACTGATAGACGGTGGATAGCTTGCTTTAACACATTTTGTAGATTGATGAGTGTGAAACAAGGAAGTGGACAAAGTAATATCAAGCTTATAGGAAGAGCATTTCATCCGCAATATCCCCTCCCACCTATTTTGAGGAAACGGTACTCAACGACAAATGACCCTGTGTATTTTTATAAAGTTACATGATATTGACTGTGATAATCTCCAAATCTCAAGATGCCTTTTGGCGGACTTCAGAATATTTCTGACGTCACTCGAGTCGTSTCGACTTACAGACAATATCGAACATAGCAAACGTTCCTTCGACATTTCGTCACGTCGAGAGCATAGTCTTTCATTATAGGCGCCATACAAATGCATGCAACTGTCGTCTGAAGCTGCACGCGAGTAGAATTCTGCAGATTCCAACTGAGTTATAGTTTAGAGTTGCGTTTTTGCGATGGAAATGTGATCTGTTTAGATTAAGTATAAATAACTAAAAGGTCGCCTTCSACATCACAGGGAACTGGTTCATGAGCACGAACAAACTCTTCATATGGGTCAAGGTTGCACACGTACCGAGTGTCGATTTGCCGGAACAGTTTACATGCRGATTTGTAAACATCAGATGACTAGTTGACTCGTTTGTATTACGGTAACTCCAAGGAAAGTGATGCTTTTTATATCTTTTTTTAATCGTTTAATTTTCATGTACTTTAAAGCCATTCAAGCTTTGAAGTACGACAATAGATTTTTATTTATTTTTATCTTAATTCAATARTTATTTTAAGTGAACTTGATTTCGCCACTTGTGAAAAATAAGAACACACAAACGCACAAAAAAGGGTGGAGTCCCAGTCTATTTCACAGCGGAAAGTAGATGTGCCAGATGAAATATGATGCATTTTAGCTCAGATATGAAAGACGTCTTTGATTAGGTCACGTGATTAAGCATGCGTAGGACAATCGGAAGTAAACGTTGCTGTGGTAACGGAACTTCTGGAAATATCTATTGTCTTTAAAAACAATCTGTATGACGCAATTTAGTGAGCGATATGATAAACTTAAATTGATGATTTAAATTGATGATATCTTGTAATTATTCCCCTTTATATTGGATGATGGTGTAGGAACAACTTGACTTCCCCTCCAGGTGCAAGTTATAAATACCAACCAACCTTGGAAATAAACATGAATTTCCATATGCTTGTTTCTAGAATTGTTTGTTATTAAACTCGGAAAGGCGTTTTAAGATAATTGGTTATTGTAGATTGACTTGAGGCAATGTTGAAAAGCGATTTGAGTATAAAACTCGACTTTTTGATTTGTAGCACAACATAAATATTTATCGCATTTTTAGCTTGAATTTTCTAGGGTTTTTGTGAACAGAAGGAGCTGGTTTTAGCAATGCTGTTATATCTTCAGTGGTTTCTGACCTTATGGTAGCCAGGAAACCCAAATTCTGCTCACAGCAACAAACAGATCAAAAGCTGCCAACCTGTTTGTACAGGGGGCTTGCTCTCACAGCGCCAGCTGGAATCCTTAAAATGATACATATAATATGTAAACTGAATTTGACACTCGTGAAAATCAGCATTAAAATAGCAAATACAGGCGTTTGGCACTGATGAAAACCATTCACAGTGAAAAGCTGTCTAATGACGACTCGTATTTCGATCTATTACGTGATGGCGCGCGCATTTCTCTGATATCTGTTTTGCTAAATGCCTTTTAGTGTATATTATAAAGCAGTATGAGCCTAGTGTGCGGTCAGATTTATAAAAACGGAACATGAAACACACCCAACGGGCGTTGGCCAGTGTGAGCAAGAAATGTATCGCCGTAGGGTATTTTTAAGCATGGACGAATTTTCATAACAAAACGACATCATGTATATTTACCTTGACCTTTCTTTACATCAGGTTGCTTTCATGTGCCCGCACACAGTTTATTAATCTCGATTTTCATGTTTGTCCAATCCAAWAGGAATCTCCCGGTTATGTAATAAAATCTTTAATATTCATGGCTACATGACGTAAACAGAGCGCTACTCAAAGACAGTTCTCATTTATTGATAGATGCTCCTATAAACAGATATCTTTTTTTTAGCCGTTTCCTCTCGTTTCACAAACATGCCACGAATTTCTTGAATGTAATGTACAACAAATAATCGATTTTTTGTTTTTGTTTTGTTTTTTTCCTCGTCGGAATCACTCTTTTTTTGTAAGCTAAATGAACTGAAAATATATAAAAAAATTAAAAATCAAATCAAATCAAATAAATTGAAAATTGGATATAAACGTTGAATACAGGAGTAAAACTCTAGCTATAATAATTTTATGGTTATGCGTGACAAACCGGAAAACCGACATTTGAGATTTGAGAGCTCCAWTGCTCCAAATGATTTTCTGTCAAAACACTGCTTGTTGGTGTTCACGGAATGTTTTATTATTCTCTCGGCAGGTTTTTGTACTACTATACCTGCTATGAATAATGAAATTTCTTTGTTTTGTTACTGTGTTTGCTTCTTTGTCTACGTATGATTGATTCTTATAACTGTAATGACCTCTGCATGTTGAACACTTGAAGAAAAAAAAACATACCAAAAAATATAGAGATTGCTAAATATATTGTTTCCTTCGAAGAAATATGGTAGCTTAATTCTCTTAAATCCAGTTTTTAATATCGTGCAGAATGCAAAAAAAAATACATATATTAGCTCCGTGGGAACCGATTCTCATGGTTCCCWAGTTCCTATGACGCAATGACCTTGACTGACATGCCTTGCATAATTTCTCAAACGAATGACTCGCCCCTTTGGAAAGTATCGATTTCTAAACACGGCTATGTTCAGGCGATGACATACATGATGAGTTTTAAATTACAAGTCGAAAGAAACAGGACCTTGTTCGTGTTATCTAGTGTAGTTCTATTGCCAGGCGACGCGACAACGCCAAAACATTCAAGAATATTGACTTTTTCTGTTTGACCTAAAAAACATAAATGTACGCGCCATATATGCAAATATGAATTGGTCACGTGATTTCATGTCGTTGAATTGCCTTTGTACGCCCTTTTRCTTTCATTAATTTGTATTGTGCATGGCTCGTAAACCGTCATCAATGTTAGAATTGACCTTTCCTACGGTCCTCGTACTCAAATTCATCGATTGTGAGCTAAGGCGATCGCGAAAGAGTCATTGTAAAGTTACGGTGCTATGACGTCATACAGGGTTATGTGATTTCATCTATTGTTTTGACGTCGTCTGGCTAACGCATTTATGCTAATTTACAACCGGGAACTAAATATAGACGATTTTAGTGCTCGGGGCGAACGGATCACGTTTCCGCGTCATCCAAACTTCGAGATCTCATATTTATTCCGGTTAGAATTGTTTTACGTCCAAGTGTGTGTCTCATATTCTAGCAACTTCGACGTGTGTTTGATTTTCGTTCCGTTCTGTTGGCTGGCTAAGGGTTTAGTACTTTCACGGTTGTTTCCACCGATTACTTGGAGCACGAAACACGTCCTCAAATGCTTTATATCGTTACTAATAGTAATTTCTCAGCCTTGTAATAGCGAACATAATACGTTTAGACAATATTCATTTCATGACATCGTCCGACAGGAAATTCTAGTTGTCATATCGTCTTGTTGGAGCAATTTGGACAGAGAAGAAATTCTCATTGCCAAAATGGCCGCTCGATTTCAGCGACAGCACTGCTTTCTCTGTGATCTGCCMCACTCGCCATGGGCCGTCTTACACGACTTTTCTGAGCCAGTGTGCCGTGGCTGTTGCAATTACGAAGGAGCAGAACGAATCGAAGACATTATTCACTATGTGCGAATTTTAAGGAAAAATTGGGAAAAAGCCGAGACAGGAAACAGATCGAAAAATATGAAGAACGAGAGAGTAAACTCGACCGGCTCATCCGTTTCTTCTACGCCTAGCCCTCCACCTTCTCACGTAGCTCTAAATAATGGTGGCCCGAATTTTCCTGTGACAGATCACAAACGAGTAGCGAGCAAATATCAAAATCCTCAACGAATGARCGAAGATGGCGGAGATGTAGTAAGCTCGAACGCCGGTGGGCCATTACCAAAGATTAGCTCGCCAGACTCAGCAAATGGATTGAAAGTCCCCAGTAATCGAGCGATGAATATTGGTGGTCGTGATGGTGAGAGAAGAGGGTCAAATTTCCCCGATGATCCTCGTCATAGCATGATAAACGGAAGTGGTGTTCGAAATCTTCAAGGGCAAATTGTTAGCTCTCATATGGGTCAAGGACCGGTCGGTTTAGAATTGCCCAGGCAGGAGTTTATAGTCCAAGAGACTCTAAGTTTATTAAACCGATCAGTGCCGTTTGATATAAGGTTCAAGAAGGAACACAGTCTAGTTGGCAGAATTTTTGCCTTTGATTTAAGCTCTAGAATGGGGACTCAAGAGTTGGAACTGAAAATGTTGATTGAGTATCCTCGTGGGTCTGGTTGTGTCTTTCAAAATGCAKCCAGACTTGCCAAGCAAATGCATGTGGACTCCTCCAAGGAGTATGGTCGAGGTGTTTCGTCAGGGTTCAAGTATATTGAGTATGAAAAGGACAGATCGAAAGGAGAGTGGAGACTTCTTGCTGAACTTGTCCAGGAACCAGTTCGCTTGTTCAAAGAACCAATTATTCAAGAACTTTTACCATGTCGACAGTTTGAACCAAATGATCCCCCTATCCCAAATGTCAACTTGTCCTTTAGCCCACGACCAGGAATTATGCTTTCTCGTAAAAGAAAAGGACCTGAAATGGAAGAATACGAAATCCTTGCTGCACGTCAAAATATGATGGGACGACTACCTAATAAGGAGGAGATGATGGCTCCAGGTTGGATGCATGGTACAGTGGAGTACAGCAAACTACAAGCAGTTAGTGGTGCTGCATTTCCTGGTACGCCAGTTAGTAGTATYCCATCTGCATCTGTTCCACCAATGGTAACTACACCTGTAACTAAAGTCAGTGGYATGGCCWTATCAGTTGGCGAAGGACACCATCCAGCATTAAAGTCTCCAATAAACACAGTCATACCAAACCGTCTTGATGTTGGAGTAAGAGAGGATGGTCGACCTGGYATCCATATTTCCCAATCATCTACAGCAGCGAGGAGATCTCCAAGGGCTCCTAATGGGCCAATATCTAAGTCTGCTGAAAGCCACAGTGGCCCTGATAGTGAAGGGAAAGAACGCACTCCMGGYGCAAGCATATTACGGTGTAGTCTGTGTAGGGATAAATTAGAGGATACTCATTTTGTACAGTGTCCATCAATTGGACATCATAAGTTTTGTTTTCCATGTTCTAGAGACAGCATTAAAAAACAAGGAGCCGGTGCTGAGGTGTTTTGTCCGAGTGGAGAACGTTGCCCTCTACAAGGAAGTAACCTGCCTTGGGCTTTYATGCAGGATGAGATAGCAACCATTTTGGGAACGGAGTTCACTGTAAAAAAAGAAAAGGACAATTGATAACAGTAATAACTTGTTATATTGGTTTGCTGCATCAAAAACAATCAAAGATGAATTATTTCAAGCCTTCTCAAAGAAGTAGTATCATTTCAAGGTTTTACACAAATATAATAGTTGTTATTAGTAAATATGTACATATAATCATTATAATGTTAGAGGTCAATGTCATAGATAGTGCTATTTTCATTCTGACATCACTGTTAGTCTCGTTTGCACATGTTTGTCCTTGTGATATTTTGTCCATTCATTTTGTACAATATTAGATTTAAAAAAAGAACTTGTAAATTTTTAAGGAGAGTTCCATTTGAGGATTATTGAAATTGCAAATACCTACCCTCTATCTATGATTACATTGCTCTTTACACTCGGACTAAGTCATTTCATGCAAGTTTCACAATTAAAATTGTTTTTGTATGTTTTCACCTAAAATAATTGATTATTTACAAAAAGTGATATAGCAATTTTAAGTACTTTTTATCAGTGAATTTTTGGTGCTCAATAAGCAATATGGTATGTCCTGTAAAAAGAGGAGTTTCAATAATTCTACAAATCTTTTATGTTTGGATTCATATCTTTTATGATATAAACTGTTCGATTTCAAAACATTTTTATAGTTTTACAAAATATATGTAGTTATAATAATTATGTTATGTGTTTGTTAGCTGTGTTTATGCAATTTCKCTCATGTTAGTACTCACTGAATTTTTTATGAAGAATGTTTTCTTTCTATTTACTGCATTTCTCACATAAAAAATACTTATTTACTTTGCTTATGAAATATAGGTGAGCCAATTAATACCAAAMTAATAAATCATTTGTCTAGATGCTGAGAGAGAGGTCACTGCTAAACTTGTTAAAGAAGTTTCTTGAAGACTGAACCAATGATGGTTTCATGTTGTGTATTCTGTGTGTGTATAGATTAGCCAAAATAACATCATATTTGTGTGATAAATGCAGAAACTGCATAAGTTTATGATACCTGTTTATTACGGGATCATTTTACAAAGAATGAAACACTTAGAAAAAGTTTTATATTCACACAGGTGGATGAATTGCTTTTTGGTCATTTGTGGCATATTATTGCACTGTCATTAYAAAGCATTAAATCATGAAACAGCAGTGAGTTTAAGTATGAGAATCACTGAAAAAAGCAGCATAATTTCAGTGTATTCATTGTATGAACTAACCAAAGGTCTTATGTCATTTAATATTTATTTCTACTGTACATGGTTAACGTGAAAGTGTGCGGCCAATTGCARATGGTCTTTGACATACATTTTTCAGGTTTTTATATTATACAAAGAGGTAGTTCTTTTAGCTGTAGTTTATATTGAATTACTCTTTGATGTACAAAGCATTGTTGTTAACTATGTAACAATACAATAAYTTAAGTTAGTAGATGTAGCACCAGAATGATGTTAACTTTGTTTTTAGTTTGAGTAGTGAGTTGCAAATGCAGTGGTTTTCATAAAYCTGTGAGATAGTATACTAAGTTRTACTACAGTGCAATAGACAGCTAAACTCAGCAAAATACAGAGATGTGTTGTAGCTATTTCAAAGGTTTATGAAATTCACTTTCGTTTTAGTGTCTTAAAACATTAAAGTGCATTCGTTATATCCTTGAAACAGTTGTTGTGTCTCAAAGACATAATGAATATACTCTAGTACTGAACTGTGAATTTGTAAAAAAATCTATGTATCATGTTCTTGATAAAATGTGTTGAAATTTATTGTCTGTGTCATCTGATCATCCAATTATCGCTACTATGGAAAGCACTAGATCAGAGTGATAGATTCTGTACCACATGCTCTTTTTGACTACCTTGTTATCATTTCTAGGGCGTCATTACACTCAAAAACTTAGTGTTGTGGTAAATAAAAAAAACACCCCTAAGGCAAAGTTTTGAGCAGAATTTTTTTCCAATCTTGTGATTTCCATAGTAATTCACCTGCTTTGTCTGCTGCAAGGTCTCCAGTGGCCTCTTAGAACTAAATTACTCCAATCTGTCTGTAAGCAGCCATAACAGAAACTATGATGAGATCCCTGTGTATAATTATTATCTTGCTGATGGTCCCCATCCCTGAACACTGAACAAAGTATGACCTGTTAGCATCAAATAGTGTAAACAGTGGGAGGCATGGATAAAAGTGCTCAAAAATGTCTGATTGTTGTTCACCATTGAATATTGATATTTTATAAAAAATCTACATTTCAATTTCTTTTTTAAATTATTTCCTTCAGATTTTTATCAGTTTTGATCAAAATGATATAAAAAAAATAAACAGAAAAACACTTCACCAGAATTACCAACAATATGATAAAACTAGTAAAGTTATTAATATATGACGTTAGTAAAGTTATTAATGTATGACGTAGGTACTGTACATATTGTATGTATAGTTTACAACATGAGCGGCCGTTTTGTATGGGAATTACAATCTCGAGCCGCAGGCGAGAGATTGTAATTCCCATACAACACGGATGCGAATGTTGTAAACGACTTATAAAACTCCAACACAAATTAACATGAATTACAGTGAGATAAATGACGAAAAATTACAAATAAGGTAACTGCTGAGTTTAGTCCCTATTAAGCATGCACAATTTACTGCAACACAGAACATTTTGAATAATTATCCATCCCACATGGAAAGCAAGCCATCTGTTGCATAAGCGAGTTCTGTTATCCGTCTTTGATTACTTCAAAACCTAGTGAAGGTCTATGATGCGACACTAAAACTGAGACCTTTGCTAGTGTTGGGTTGTCTCAATGGTGACGACCGTGTTGTAAATCTGATACAACCACTAGTGGTTGTATCAGATTTACAAGGTCAATCACCTGATTAAATGGTCAGCCCTTATTGGAGCAATAGCTTATGCATTATTAATAAGTTTTATTAGGTTATAAATTTAAGTTGTTTTTGTTCTTCAGAACTGCCATTCTGTCCAGAGACAAAGTAGCTCCAACTTCAGAAACAGGCATAGAACAAGTAATGGATGAACTTGGCAGAATGAGAAGTGATATCAGAACTGTTCTTACTGTAAGCTTGTAATGTCTTCTTTTAACCATCAAAAATGCAAATTGTAAAGGCTGATTTACACGGCACGATTGTCTCGTGCGATTTGTAGTATACGACTTGAATCGCGCAGTGTAAATGCCCCTACGACTTGTCTACAACAGTCGTACGCAACCTACGACTTGTAGTAGGATTTTGAAACACTGCTTAAAATCCTACGACTTGTAGTAGGAAAATCGTATACTACAAGTCGCGCGCGACAAATCGTACCGTGTAGATCAGCCTTAAAGATCAAGAAATATATTCATGCAATCTTACTTGAACCTAAAATATATTACAAACAYCAGTATTATAACAAGGTACTTTAAAATGGTTTTAGGAAACAGAGAAAATGAAAAGTGGCCTYAAACATCAAAAGATTTCTCAAGTAAGTATATATTAAGTAATGSAGGTGCAGCAATGYTAAAATTGTAAATACTGTAATGCTTTGTGGGGTCATGGGACCTTTTAATGCAAAGATTTGGAGCCTAGCATTAGTGGCATCTTCTATTTTATTTTAGTTTGTTCTACATAATGATTTAATTAGAAAGTGTATAATATTATGGTAAACACTTCTTTGATTCAGTTAAAATTGTTTCTTCTTAGGAGCTAGACCAGAAGTTTTCACACTATGACCGCGAAGCTTCACTCTTAGATGCATATCTTGTAAGTAGTTTTCAAAGTTTAAATAAWCTCTATTAATTTAATTGTTTACTGTCGGTAACATTTTCATTAATATTTTCTGAAAATGAAAAGACATTATAAAATTTCCTTTTTTTGCTTGCGTGAACTAATACACATTCTGTTCATCAAAYAGACAAAGAAAGATGAAAAACCACCCATTGATCAAGTGAAATCCCTTAGATTAACAACACCAGTTGTTGATCATTGTGCCGATGTTAAACAAGTCTTAAGAGATGTTGAAATTCARCGAAACAACCTTGAACACAACCTTGATGCCATYGTGAGGCARAATGAGGCAGAAACCTTGTATGCAACTGTGGATAGTTTGATACAAGGTGCACAAGGGTATGATAACATTGTATGCTTGCYTTTCCTTGACTTTGAGCATCATTCAAGGCAATATTWTCYTGTTCAGTSYGGGGCATRAACATTTGTGTGGTAATTTGAATCAAAGCAAATAGGTTTAAAAATACATGGATTGCAAAGCAATTGCTTACAGGTTAATTTTGGTAATTTGAAAGGCAGGGTCTGTGGTTTTTGAAAAGATAAAAAAATATTAAAAATATTCTGCTTTATTTTACATTTGTAAAAGATGCCATTTCAATTGGTTTAGTTCTGTTAGATTATTTTGCTTGTTTAAGAGTTAAGATTTTTTCATATCCTGCAATATGTGTTTCTCCTTGGCTTTGGAAACCTAAGATACTTAATGTAATATAATGAACATTATTTTATTCTCTGATTTGTTTCTCTTCACTGTTATTTTTGCCTTACCTGATAGCACTGAAGTTAGTCGTATTGACAAGATGATCAAGGAAATGACAACTGTAATCAAGGTTGGTTGTTATCATTTTTGATTATTTCCTTTTTGTAGTTGATATTATGATTGCAAGTTTATTAATTTTGCAGCATTTTTGTACAACCTGCTTGAAATGTCAACTTTCTGTAACTTTAGCAGTGAGAATATAAAAAAGAATGAGTCACTTAAAGTACTATAACCATCTGTCAATTTGATTACATTCACAAGGACTAAGAGGCTAAAAGTGACAAATATCATAAGCACTGTCAATTTACTGTATCATATAGTGATAGCTTTTTTCCTTGTTTTCTCTTAAATATTTGTAACACATTTTCACTGTTTTCYTGTGAATAGAATGAAATTGATAACGAGGAGCAAAAATCCAAAGCAAAATCTGAAACTCAAATCAACCCAGAGACATCAAGTGCAAAGTCTAAAGGCAAATTTCAACCTGGTAGAAAAGTTCCAGGAAAACCATATACATTTACTGGAMGACAAGGCAGAGTTGGTTCAGGAAAAGAGAATGTACCAAACAATAGCAAAGACAAGAAGCATAAGGTAGTGTAGTACCATTAATTAATAATTAGTAAACAACTGAGAAAGAAAGGGAAGAAAGAGAAGTGAAATGAGAGTAGCTGTTATAGTCTGTTTGCATCATGTGATCATAATGTCTTTCAGGTCACACAGCCAGTAGTAACTACTAAGGCATCATCAAAACCTGTTTCTAAGCCTGTTTCAAAACCCATTTCCAAGCCTGTTTCTACCAGTGCAAATCAGACTTACCTTAAAAGTATTTATGGCCGTCAGCCTCATCATACTCATCGCACAACCTCAAAGGCACCATACCTTCATTACCAGTCTCCTGTCAATCCAAGAACAGCTGCTCTGACAGCTGCAATTCTGGGAACTGGAAGCCGACACCCCGCTCATCCAAGTAGGCCTGAACCAATAAGAGAGAAGAYYGARAAGCCAAGCAAAGATGMCTGGTACTATTTTCACCCTGCTATAGACAGGTCACAAGTGATTCCATCAGGGGATGGCAGAGTTCATGTGCATGCCCCTTTAGAAGGTAGAAAGATGCCCATGGCTATCCCACTTGGGAAACCTAGGACTGATCCTTCATTGAGGCTGCCTTTGCCAACAGACAAACCTTTAATAGAACCAGGTAAGATAAACCTCTACCTCACCAATGTTACCTACATATTGGTCACTTATGATGTAATGTTTTTGTAGCCAAACAAGAAGATCCACCTACACCACCATCTCAGTCAACACCAATCCAGTCATCACCAAAACGCAGTCCTACTAAGCCAAATGTGGCAGTGATAACCATCCAACATAAAGGACCTGAGGCTGAGTCTTCAAAAAAGATGAGAAAAACAGGAAAAATGGCTAAAAAGCAACCAGAACTTGCTGTGCAGGTACGAAATATAYAATTTTGCTTGACAAATCATCAAAATTTAAATTTTTCTGCATGATTAAATAAATTGACCACGTCATGTCTTTTAGGTTCTACCACAGATGGATGTTGATAGTTTAACAGAGTCGAGTGAAGGGACTTCCCTTTATGAATCACATATTTTGGTATGTTTTCAACCTTTAGCTTTATTAGCTCAATAGGTGAACTAATCATATTATCTCTCTGTCAGCTGCTGGCCACTCATTAGTGAATTAACAATGAATGTTCAATGTTTAACTGCAAACATCACCCAGCAATGTTTTGCGGTCTGGCTGACTGAGTCAGTGAATTAAACAGTCAATAATCTCCTTCACGGTTACCTGCGCCATCTTGAAAGGTAGCCGTGCCTTGTCATCGAAGCGAGACAACAGTTGAGCGTGCAATGATAGAAACCTTATTTCACACCTACAGACAATTATTCACAGGTTTCTATCATTGCATGCTCAACGGTCGTCTCGCTTCGATGCAAAAGCACGGCTACCTTTCAAGATGGCGCAGGTAACCGTGAAGAAGACTATTGACAACTTTTTCAATCAAAAGACTGACAGCCACACCAGCAAGCAGGTTGTCTTTCAAACTGTCATTGTGTCAGTCAGTTCTTTGGGATTATGACTCTGCTCATAAGATATTGTTTTTAGGATGAGTCAAAACCTGTTACACGTCCTGCTGATATTGAATACGAAGACTTCAGGAATTATCTTGCTGTTAAGGACACTCAGCCAGAGCAAGAGGTATGTTTGCATCTATTTTGGTTGATATGGAAATTGTGCGAAATCTTTTTTGAGATAAAAGAAAAACAAAACGAGACCATAATTTATAAAATAGTTTTTATTCTAGAATATAAAATTTTATGCTCCATCTTAAGCTTTACAATTTTTTTTTAGGATGAAGATGATGATGACACTCCTAGRATACCWACCCCTGAAAACCCCCTTACAATTCAGGGACATACAGAAAAAGACCGTCTTTATCATGGACCCCCTTTCCCACCAGAACATCCACCATTACCAGACATCAAAGCTTCTTGTGTCTTAGATACTGATAACMGAGTAAGCGATGCACTAGAAGACAGGGCATTGGACTGGTAAGATTTCAGTGATGTATTATCATTGTGTTTTGCAGGATTTTTTTATCATTCTTAATGTTGTAATTAGGGTGGAGCAAGAGCTCCTGGCACGAATAGTCAGTGAAATGAGTCAGCCATTGCCTGATCCAACACTTGCTCCGCAACCACTGTCCTCCCCTGAAAGTAGTGTTGTCTCTGATGATGGAGAAATATTAGGTAAGGGGCTGAAGTATCACAAACAGTGATGTATGATTTTTGATTTTTAAACAAAATATGTCTCAGCAAACTTATGCCATCTTAAATATTTGGTAAGAAAAGAAGCACTTATTGTGATTTTATAAGGTTTGATGCATGACTTTTGTGATTGCTTTAGCTGCAACTATTGGTCTTGGAGGAATACAGTTATTTGTTGATGCAGGRATCCCTGTTGACCGTGATCTGGTTGCTGAGTTAATAAGAGATGTGGTTGCAGAGCAAATCGCTTCCACCCTTGGATATCCTAAGCCGACAGCAACACCAAAAGCACCACAAGTAATGATTAGTCAAAACTATGTGTAAACATTGCACTTTATTTATAAAATTCAGATGTAGTCTAGTGAATGTGCCTGATACATGACATTAGCCAAAMTATGAGRCTGTACTTTTGWACTTTTTGCAATGTTTTCTGTTGAGTCATTACCAGGTGAKGTCCAGTGACAATTTTTTTTCCTCCTTTGGGCTTCCTTTGTAATGGTCATGTTGGCTRATAGGGAGTAGTGTCCTTCTCTAGCTCCCATTCATCCTCCTGTAGCAACCTGCAAAGAGACAAAAGCCCTTGACTCTTAGTGATTCCTGTGTGGGAAGCTAGTGTAGCTCTTACTGAAGAATATTATTTTATAATTTTTATTCGCTCAGGTTGATGTCCAGCCAAGTCCTCAGACACCAGAGCAAGCAGYTTCGCCTGTGACCACTCCTGTCCCTACCCCTGTATATACTCCAGTTGAATCAGAATCCAGTGCTGCTCACTCRCTCAATGTGTCTACACCAGACCCCACMCCTACCCCCTCAGAATCAAGTGTCAYTATGGAAACTGAAGAGGAGCCAACACCAGTTAAGGAAGTAAAGGAAGACGAAGACGAGGAAATGGAACCTGAGGTTAGTGTTGTTTGTGGCAGTTCTTTGAATGTGTATGATGAGAAGTTTATGATAGTGGATCTGAATATGCATCTATTGTTTAAAGCACCATCATGGTTCCCGACTAGAATGAGACTTGTTGTATAGCTCTTGAAAAGTAATTGATTACTTGTTGGGGAACTACAACAAGAGCGACTTTGCTAGCAAGGAACCAAAGTGGCTGCTGGTCATTTCTTTTGTATCACTAGGAATTGAATGAAAACTGGCACTAGATTTTTTCAAAACTTAAACAGTCCAATTTTATATTAATCTTATTATAAGATAACAATTTAGGTTGCAATACAGTCACAGATTTATTACTAAATTTACTTCACTTTTCACCAAAAGCAAAGTGCACGGTATAAATCATTGTGAATCGTTTGTACAGGTTTCTGCAGCACGATCGCCAATCCCAACACCGGTAGCAACGCCAACAAGYTCACAYAGCCCCACTGTCAGTATCTCAACTCCAGAACCGTCAACACGAGAACCTGACATTACTGATGTTGGGCTTCCTGTGGATACACCTGAACCAAGCGTATCGCTTCGTAGGTAAGACTGTCAAGTTCAGMCTCTTACTGGGATTCGAATTTTATTTAAGATAGAGGCGTATATGCCATTATCTGTAAATTTATGATCAAATTTAGTGTTTCGCYATGATTTTGTCTTGTAGTCCAAAGTCTACCACCGCATCAACGCCAACAACAGTAGAATCATCAGAAGCTACAMCGCCTCCTCCGCCACCTCCTAAACTCCCYAGCCCCGTCAAGTCCAGTCCACCGTCCATGACAACTAGTACCTTATCCCCTAGCACTACCTCAACTTTGACTACTATTGACGAGGAACTGTCAGAAGGACAATTGATTCAGGTATGACATAATGTCAGTGTTTCTTCTTTTTCTACTTCTGCGTTTTGCTTTTTTTTCTTATTTTCACCTTAGTTTTCTGCTTTTAGTTTTTGGTTTAGAAAATGTTGATTGTCAACCTTCTTGTTAATATGGCTCACTGWCGAGTGAAAAGATGCTTCGCAGGTCCTTCGAATACATTTGTTATGTATTTTTGCATTGCATTATACTATGATTGCGCAAAAGTGAAGATATATAATTTATTTTACCAAGTTAAGCTTCTATCATATTAATGGTGTGACCCGGCGCTTTCTCAACTGCTCACCTAGAGGGGGTAGGGAATGTTTGTCTCATACATTGATGTTTCCTTACAGCCATATGTGCATGGTGGGAAGTACAGTGAAGGTGAATACGCCATGTCTCCGGGTCTTGTGGACTTGGTCAAAGAGAGAAACGTACCCGTCGATACAGTGGATGTGATGGGCAAAGATGAAGGTAAAACTTTTAAGGCTAACCTCTACAAACAGTCCRGTCGATTAAATGGGTTTCATGTGAATGAACTGAATATTTTATACCTTTATAACCGATTTATCTTTATYACTAACAACACTGACTAAAGAAGGCATTCTCCCTTTCTGCCGAAGCGCTTATTTTTTAGAGCATTATGTTTGCACTCATGCTAGAACATTTGAAGTTGCCGCCAAAGGTTTTTCGACCGCGCAGTCGCACAAAAGGCGGGAAGTCTAAAAGGCGCCGCGGATGCGCGCGCATCAACTGACAGCTATCAGGACGTAATGAATTCAAAAGCCGGTTACGAAAAAAAACTAGCAGGGAATGCTTTTCTCTTTATCATACTTAAAAACAGCTTACTATTTTTGTATTTCTACAAAATGAACGTAATATCGATCTAGAATCGATTCTTTGATCATTCGTTCGATTGCGTCACTATCGTCACTAATTAACTTGATTGTGACGTCACTGTAAGAATTCATTAAGGAGCAAAAGTCGTAGTYGTTGTCGAGAGTTTTGCAAGACGACCGCTCGGGTTTGATCGATTGTTCAGTCGTTTGAAATAGCGTCAGCGAGATGGATTTCAGCGGAGGACGTGGAATCGAACGTCTCAAACGAGACTCGCCTTTGATGGAGTATCTAACGCGAAGGATGCAACAGAAAGGTGACATGTGACTACGATCGTTTAGTTCATCTTTGCATTTTATTGTATTTTTGTTTTCTTTTTTGAGATCGATAATCGCATTTCTTATTTTAGCGACACGATGCTCAAAATATTTGATCTTTAAGCAAAAACAAGAATAGGAACAACAATGAACAAATACATTACACTATTAATGTGTTGATTAAAAAATACAGAAATTGACCATGATCAAATGTTCGAATTGCAGATTACTCCAGGCTTAAGATTGAATTTTTACTAGTGACTGAATATTCAATTCAAGTTTTCTTCCTTTACACAAGCATGTTGTGTTTAGATAGTCGTTAGATGGTCGTTTTGCATTTGAAGCTGCAACTTTTTTTGTAAAAATCAGGTGCCTAACGGATTTTTAAAACCATTTTAATTATCGAGAACATTTACTGAAGGAGACGCTGAATGGTTGTTTTTTTATTTCTACTGTCTATTCACATGTAAATAGAAACTGCTCTTTAAGCATCTTCTGTTTTTGAGTTTACCGCAGCTGGAAAAGATAGACTGATTATGTATTTTGTGAAAGTAGCTTCACATGAATAAGCARAACTCTTGATTTGAAAAATCAAATGTAGGAACAAATCCAAAGTTTATTTATTGTTGTAGCTTTTTTTTTATTTTTMAGTTTTTGTTTCACATGTTTGGTTATATGTATTCAAGTTTCTCTTCGAGCGCTTTGTTAAAYCTGATAGATGCCTTCAAATATTGTAATTTTTTCCCCTTGAAAAAGCAGTTTACGATGACATCCACGATTTTCTTTTCAGTGCGCATTATTAGCATGCTTAAAGATAACAAACAAACAAGCGAAACAACAAAACGAAAGCAAAACAAAAACAACTTAAAAAATTTAAGTGTTATTGGGGGTTTACTCGAGAGTGGAATAGTCATGTGAATGATGTCGCATAACATAAGGAGCGAACGACAAAAAAAATCCAACTTAAATTTCCAAGTTGTTTTGCTTGTATTTACAAGGTGTAATAATCCTGTTGYTTTTGTTGCAGATAGTCGCAATGAGTTGATTCGCATCGCTCTCCATGGTCTTCTAAGGCGTGGTCTGTACAGTACATCAAGTCTGAACACTACCTCTACCATAAGCACTCTAAGGGATGCAGACGACATCAGACAGGTATTATCGCAATAACTGAGGATGGCAGAACAATAAACAATTAATTCACTAGTATCTGAGAAGCCAATCAGAATGCAGAATGAGGTTTCGACGAATATTATCTGTGCAAAAAAGTTGATTCATGATCGATTATAAACAGATAATAATTTAAAGATGATGGTGATGATAGTAATGATGATGATGACAATAACGATTATGATGATAATGATTAAGATGACAACACAATGAATTTTGGTTATTTTATTCCATCGAGAAATTATACATTTCCATTATGCATGTTTTCTTGCTACTGCGATCCAACATTGCTCTCACCCAAATGGTGGTCTTGTTCGGATGATATGACGATTCTGGAGACAACATATCGACGAGATACCAGGTTTTCTCTAGTTGTGAAAATGCAATATCTTGAACCATGAAAAGATATCATATCTTTCACATGTGAAGATATCACTGTTGGCATGGTGACACATTTTTCGACCAATTAGATCAATATGTATATAACACATCGATAGATCGCTACTTCCACTCGCGAAATATAGATTGAACACTCGAAGATAAAATTAGTATTTCCGCGCGCTCATGTAATATCCTCTATTTWTAACGAGAGACTTTATAATGTGGAATAGACTTCAAAAAGCACCCAYAAGAGCACGCTACACATTTAAAAGCTCGTAGTTYAACTATTATGTATGCTGATGTAGTATTCCGATATTTGTGCAGGATTCCATGGACGAATACAGTCATAGTGAAGGCGAGGTTATTTTTCCACGTGACCCAGTACCGGTTCGWTATGCCGCCACAGGATCTGYCCCTGCCGGTGGTGAGTGTCWRCTCTGATCGACATCTTCGCTGTTCGTCTGTCTGTCTGTCTKCCTCKAAATAGCAATTCGTCTGCATGTCTGGTCATCTGTCTTTCCGTCTTCAGTGTTCTTTCCGTCGACTCAGTGTTGCCTTTCTATGTTGTGTCCATGTTTTGTTTGTTCGTAAATAAATGTTTCAATACTACAGTAATGCTGTGGACTTGTAATGCAATGCTATCTGGATCAGTTCTTGTTGTAATTGGAAAACAGTCAAGAGGCTTTGTTGTGAGGTACTAATTTTCGCATTTCTTTCAAGCCTCGCCTCGTTCCCGAGCAAAAGCTTCGCCAGGCGAACTAACCCCGACTGCACTACGATCAAACAGACAATCTTCACCTGGAGAAACCAATACGAGTGTTGGTGCTCGTCGAACCCAKCCGAGCATCCCTAATGGGCGGGTCATTGCAGTAACACCAGGTAGCCCTAAGCATCAACGACCGAAGACTCCCAATACAAGTCGAGACAACTCGGACAGTCGATCTTTACATAAATCAGACCTTCAACATGGACATTGGAGGCAASCGATGATCTCGAGCAGGGAAGGCTCACCACAAAGATCTCCCAGAAATGAACGTCATCAATCGCCAAATAATTCMATCATTGACCGTCCACCCAGTAGGGGTAGTGACCGTCAACCTGCCGGGGGTAATGACCGTCCCCACAGCAGAGATACTGAACATCAACACAGTAATGGTAGCGATCGGCAGCAGCCAGTTTTTCGTCCACCTATACATGTACCTATTCCCTCTATGGAACCAGACAGCTCAGGTCAACTTAGTGAAGGAGTGGCTGGGTACGATCTTGGGGATACTTCCGGTGATGTCTCGTCGATATCGGGTGGTGACTTCTGAGAACTGTCTAGTGGAATGAATAAAGTGCTTCTATCTCAGTAACATAGTTGCTCGATTTTCTTGGCTCATCTCGTGAAATTTCCRGCGTCCTGAGTATCAGGCTCTCTTGAAGGGGATTGTGGTGTTGCTATGCTCCTTCTAGAGGGTCTAATACTGGCTGACGAGTAAGCGAGGCCCAGCCGTACCTCTTTCAGAGGACGTGCTCCATGTCAGGTGGAGGTCCTTCAGTCTTAATACCGCGTTCTGGAATAAACCGCAAGCCAAATCAGTGATTGTTTGATAKAGAGAGAAAAAACTGTCTACTGCAAAAAGTTAAATTCATTTTTCTTAGGCTTTTTTAAGGAGACGGGAAAATTTAGAAAAAGACTCGATTGCACAATTATCTGATTACTTGTTGATGATCTAGTGATCAGGCCACTAATCAGCCGACCCTAACTGGTAGCTTATATGTAATGTTTGGTCTGCGGGTTGTGCAAGGCTGTGAGTGAAGTGATGAGTTATAGATATCATGTATCGCTCTCGTTTACTCGAATGAGGAAGTACTCTGTGTATCACTCTATCGTTTCTCGAGATTTCAAAAATATTTGAGGGTTAAAAAAGTTGAAAAACARYTGAWTGCTGTGATCTGAATGCTGCGATCATGTAGAAAACGCAACACGTGCAACCAAAACATGTTTATTAATAGTTTGAATGTAACGGAGGTCAAAGTACAATAAAAAATTGTTACTGAAATTGAGCAATTTCGCGCACTGAAAATTACACGTCAGTAAACATTAAAACGAATAATCAATTTTAAGCATTTAGTGAGGATTGTTTTGTCTGGAATAATGTGGAAATCGACTTAATAAATAAAAGTTTAAAATATGACACTTGCACACCAAAACAATGGTTGCACAACTCGTGTATTTCTCGATTTTCTATTGGACGATTCAATTCCGGCACTTGTACGGAGATAAAACGGCCAATCAAATCGCGGCTTTTATGAATTCCCGGAAAACGAAATCTGTCCGATGTATTGCGAAATATTCWCGAGCCTCGCAAAAATACACTAAGCTACGACGAAGTGCTGAGCAAAGGAAGAGTGTGAAAAGTACTGCATTGTGTTTTGCAATCGAAATCTTCGTTACTTGTTTGTTGTTCATTATGGGAGACAACAATGTGTTATCATACAAGCCATTCAAGCAAAGGAAAAGTTTTGGTAAGTTACTTGTTCATTTTATGTCGCAAATCSCTAGGACACCATCGAACGCGATTGTAAATTTTCATGTCCGTTTAGCGAATAATAATGTGGCTTTCCTGCTGTTATTTTGTTTGTAGTAAGCAGAAGAGACGAAGTAGCCGGTATCAGAGCGAAATTCCCGTCGAAAGTCCCAGTAAGTATAGTTCTCAAAGAGATATTTTCAGAGTTTGGTATAGTGTAAGAGCATCACACATGTCGTACGTGCGATGTAAACAAAGCCCGTTCTGCTCTGGTGGTTCGTACTTGGAAAACKACAGATTTTGGTAATCTTTACTCTTCYTTTCAGGTTATCGTCGAAAGATACCATAAAGAGAGAGATCTACCCTTACTTGATAAAACAAAATTCCTAGTGCCCCAGGAGCTCACAATGAGTCAGTTTGTAACGATAATTCGGTGAGTCAACTTTTGTAGGTAGCTTGTGTTTCCGGTGATGGTTTCATGCACAATAGAACATCCATAATGTTCCCAGAGACTCTTTAAATTTTTAACGATATTTCTTCAGAAAGATATTTCACGTCTGTGTCTAGGAAGCTGAGACTTCAGCCTACTTGAAGACTCGCCTCCTAATAAAAGACAACAAATTACATTCAGACGACCATAGAGATCTTGTTATTGTCCCATAACTAGATCCCTGTAAATACAACTCAGCATTCAGCAATACTTAATATGTTTATTTCAGGAAACGCTTAGTTCCTTTTTAACTTGTTTGGTAGAATTTCGTGACTTCAAATGAAAGCTGAAGTCTGAATCAACACGAATTTTATATTTTGATGCTTTTGCAACATTTGAAATTTGTTACATCAGCAAATGCTTTTATAATCAAGCTGTAATAAGGTTACTTCAAAAAACATCGCTTAGAACTTTTAAACTAAAGCTTGGACGTGGAGTTTTGTGGTTCAAAAGTCCTTGACCTTGTAGTCACTGAACAAACGTGACTGGATGTTGAACTTAAAAGTCATGCAGRGTTTCACTCAGGAACTATACCAATGCTATCATTTTATTGGTCAAGTGATGTTTTGGATATAATCGTGATAAAAAATTMTTTTTACTTGATTGCACTTACTAACAGGAAACCACATTGCTATCATCATGTCTTGGAAGAAGTCCATGCAAGTTTGTTTTTGTTTCCCTTCCACTATTGTTCTTTTAAAACAATAAGAATAAATCACTAATTTCTACTAAAATATTGTCTTGACAAAAACAATTATCAATGAATAAAGCCAAGAAATGCAATAAGAGTAATATCTGTCCTTYWTTGTTTCAGAAATCGCATGTCGCTATCATCAACCCAAGCATTTTACCTTATAGTAAATAACAAAAGCTTAGCAAGTATGTCAATGACTATGGCAGAGTTATACAGAGAAGAAAAAGATGAAGATGGTTTTTTATACATGGTGTATGCATCTCAAGAGATGTTTGGTTGCAATAGCTGAAATTCCCTTAAATCAATATTGTATTTATATGATATGAATTCATGGCAATACTGATATCAACAGATTCTAATATTGRCAACCAAACTGACATGGAGGAAGTTGAATGCGATATGTATTACTCTACTGAACAATGTAGATTATTTACAAATCAATGTGCACAAAACGTTGTAGCTAGTATCCCTCACAGTGTTTGCCAGTGTCATATTCAGCTTTCTCAGACTGAAAGTGCATCATTACACTTATGTTGAATATGAGTGASATCAGAAAATAGGTGCACAATCATAGAAGGAACTATATGCCACCTTAATGACTAGTATTATAAGTTACATGTATAGTTGTTCATTCATAAAGAAGTTGTCCTGTTATATGTAACTTTTCCACAATTTGTTTTATAACTGCTATAACTACATTAACTACATGATAATTTCAAAGTATTTTATTTTAAGGCATTATTATATGTCCTCAAATTTTAGTTATATGGCATATATTCTTTTGTGTTTCAATTTCTTAGTAATGCTGAAATGATGCTTTAGATGTAGTGGTCTCTACTTGAAATCAGTTAGAGCTTCCAGGCAACATAATTTTATGAAATTTCAGTATTGTGATGAGTGATGTGAAATGGTGAGACTTTTAAATCACAACTGCAAGGAAAAAAGTGTGTTCACTTGACTGATATAATATTTTAAGTCTAAACCCAAGCTTTCTTGGTAATACAGTGAAACCCAACGTTGTAATGAAAAGACACTAAAACAAACAGAACATTACTTTTGTGATATATATGGAAATGTAGAGGTCATCTCAATTGAATAAAAGCATAAACRAGCTCAACTGCTTTGATGGTAAAATAATCAAATTTCTCTGTTTGTGAAATAGTTTGATAATAGTTTTAATAAATATAGAAATTTACTTACAGAATGTCTTTGTTTATTTACAAGGAAAAATAATCCAGGAATGTCCTGGAATTCACACATAGCTAGGGATTTTGCAGTTTTAATTAAAATATCAAATTGTCCAGAATACCTGAATACCTATATATACCTATATAATATCTGTAATAATTAGTACACCTTCATGAACATTTAATCTTGTTGCACAATATCTTCAATGTTTCAATCAGTTGATTTTCATCATCATTATTCTTGACAACAAAGTCAAAAGTTTCTTTGTCAAGACCACATTCTGATTCTGCATCATCAACACCAGCAGTAAAGATCCAACCTCTTGCCTTCCTTGTTGATAATGAAGCTTCAATTCTAACATGGAGAACATTTGSATAATGAGTMTTGAAATACTGTATGTCACTAACTCTCCTAGCATCTGATATGAACCAAATCGGTTTAGTCACTGGGTTCCCTGTGGTATCTGCAGTATAACTTTGTTTTGCCGCAAGATCACAAAAATRTGAAGGRTCTTCATTTCTCTTGTCTTCYCCCCAAGTAATCATATCTCTTCTGTATTTCTCCTTATAAGACGATGCGTCAAGTAGTTTTTTAAAGTCCAGACCATGAATTCTTGCATATTCTTGTTTGAGAGGTGCAGATAAACGAAGAATTTCACATTGATGTTCTCCTATAAGATTCTTGAGTTTCTCTACGATGAAGTCTTTCCCAGATTTTCTTTTCCCACTAAAWATACACACCACATTCGGGGTTGATTTTAACACTTGTTCTCCTTGGTTGCTCATTTGATTCTAATGGCCTTTCTAGGGAAAAAGATTACTTTAAAAATACCAAAAAGAGCTGAGATAATGAGGTTTTAGTTAGTTCCCCTGTCCGCCATTTTCTTTCTATGTGATAGTACGCTGACCGCATCGTACCGAACACGTGCTTCCGTGGTTTAAAAATGGCGGCTGTCGAAGAAAATGTTGACTTGTCTCAATTCACCATATCTAGTGAAACTCCAATCAATTTTCTGGAATGCCAGACTGCATTTGATGGGCTCTCGGATAATGAAAAGCTTTATTCTCATTATCTATTGAAAGCTTCATGGGAAGGTAGTTTGATATGCCTGCTTCAGACTTCACCTGAAGGACCGAGAATTTTTCAACTTCTTCAAAGACTGTTCAGTTCTGAGAGTGTCAATGAATTGAAAGAACGGGCATTGAAGGCTGACAATGGGCCAACGTCGGAGGAATTTGATGTAAGTTAAAATCCTTTAAACGAGTATATCATCTTTTTTTTAAAATTTCACTATTTTCAAGTCAATATTTCCCGGGTGTCATTTTCAATGTTGGTGGACGGCACATTGGACGCAATAACTGTAGTAAAATTTTAAGACCATGGCACTTTTGTGCCTTGAAAATACTGTAAATAAGCTTCTGTGTTTTCTCAATGTATATTTTTTGACTGATCAACTTATGCAAGAATTGTACTTTATGCTTTGTCAACAATTTTAGAGCTTCCTGATGTATGTGGCTGCATTTTATGGTAATATTGGAAACTACAAGTCATTTGGTGATACCAAGTTTATTCCTGCATTACCTAAGGTGATAACAATATTTCATCAAATTTACTAAAATGGTATATCTTATGTATCTTGCATCCTTATTTCTCTTTCACATTTTCTAACTTTCTTTTTATCCCATTCATCCACTCAACAATCTTCTCATATTTATTCCAGTATCGTGATTTTCAGCTTTTTATCATTGTTTCCCTCAATCCCACCATCATTACTTGTTGCATTAATTCATCCTTGCATCCACTTTCAATTCTGCCTTSCATATTGTCTGGCAATCTGTAACCTCTTGTGTAAATTTGCTTACATCTGTCATCAGATAAAAGTGTGCTTCAAACATGTAGCATGTTTTAGCTTAAAAAAACTACCACATACTGGATGGCTGCTTGATTTAATAAGTACAAATTAAGCTTTTCTTTGATGTATATGAAGATACCATGATTTATTTCTATTTTGGACAGGATAAAGTCCAATCTATCGTATACTCAAGTAAGGCATACACTGATGATTCTAAGCAAGTAGAAAGACTGTGGCAGGACTGTAAAGAACCCATGTATTCTCTTAAAGCAGCAGTTAGACAGCTTGGCTTTGGTGATCAGGTGCATTTTTGRCTACCAGTTGATAAATAAGATTGATCCATGGGTGAGATTTATATGAAGCATACTAAAAATATCCTTGTTTTTCTTGTTTAGGCAATGTCTACTTACTATTCAAGCAACTGTGATAAATCTGATGCTGAATTTGTTCAAGGATTTTTGAAAGAAAAGGTAAATGAAAGCAAACTTTTTATTATAGTTATATTAAGTTTTTTTTCCTGATCACTTGTTTCAGAATTTCCCCCATCCCTCCCCTGTTGRGGCCTTGTTTCTGGTAAATTRAAATCTTCAAAMTGARACGTTGAAACGGCATAAAATATRAATAATGYTATGAAGTCTCAAAGCCTCAGCTTGAAGATTTTAATTCATAATTTTTTCCTTTTGATTTTTTGATGTCATGTCGCACATAGATGAATCTTACTATAATTTAAAAGATCCAAGCTTTTCAGCTCTGATCAATTAGTGATCTCTCCTGTTTTGATAGTCAGTTTATCTCATGATAATGTGGGAAATCTGTAGAATATGAAGTGCTTGATGTGGACACAAGAATTTGAGTGTTAATATCAAATTGTTCATTCAAAATTAAACTGTTGTGGAATTAGAATTTCTTGGTACGCAGGCATAATTTCTAAAAATAAATGAGTCCTCTGCGTTTACTAGTGATATTTTTAATACCGAGCTTTCGGCCTAAGCGGCCATTATCAAGGTAGAGCACACGTAAGATTTTAAACAACGCAAAAAACGGAAAGCGAGCGAGGAAACATAGCAATACAGCGCGAGCTAATTACAATAGATAATTGTGGAATTGCTCATAGAACATTGATGCATATAATACCCGGTTGTTTAAAGAAGTTGATGGCAGCAACAAAGTAACTTATAATCTACGAATTGCATCAGTTTGTACATCAGGTATGAAATTAAGTAATTTTTGCTGTTTGTCAAAGCGATATTTCCATGCTGGTTGTGTTTTTTTCCCTGTTGTTTTTCATTGTGTTACTTCTCACCCTTTCAATTAAAGTAATTGTGTATTCAAGAAAGGATTTCAGTGCAGTTTTTCTAACTTTTTTTTTTAATCCAACAATTCAAATATAGCTGAGCCTTGTAGCAGTGCAAAAGATGAAGATGATGTGGCTAGTCTGATTGGATCACATGACTACAAAGACTGTACTATAAATATAACWAGAGGAGACTATGCTGGACTTCTGAAGAGAGTTGTTGACAACCTGGAGAAAGCACATGTAAGTGTCCATCCCTTTACAATTTTTATTGTTCTCCAGTATGTGATAAACTATGTATGGATAGATAAGTTGGTATTGAAACATAGCGCTGTTACTTCTGTTTTTTTCTGGGGACATCGTTTGATGTTCTTGTGAATGTYTGATCCATTTAATATTTACATGTGTATATGTTTGTCTGTTTCGAAATTGGAATTGAAGTGTTAAAAGCTAGATTTATTAATAACCAGTAAAAATTCATCTCAACAGGAATTTGCATCAAATGAAAATGAGAAATCAATGCTAAAGAACTACATCAAAAGCTTCAGTACTGGTAGTGTTMAGGCMCATAAGGATGGCTCACGATTCTGGATTAGAAATAAAGGCCCCATTGTTGAAACGTATGATATGATTGTTCATTGTTTAATATCGTACTTTAAAAGATTGTTATTCACACTCTAGTATTGTATGTCATGTTAGGTATATAGGCTTCATTGAGAGTTACAGAGATCCGTTTGGTGTCAGGGCAGAGTATGAAGGTGAGTATTTACCTCTYATTCATTTTTCTATGCCATACCATCTAACCATTTACCATCCTCGGGAAACCCAGGCGTAATCTTCTGTCGTTGGTTCCTCACTTCCAGASAKCGAAGGAAMGAACAASAGAAGATTACCCCTGGGTTCCTGAGGATGACCATTCACACTTTCATTCTTCTGCTTAAATTTATGTTTAGCTCTTTTTTGTTTTTGTTTAAAATCCTATCTGCAGCAATAGAAATTTGATTGATCACTTTTTTTTGTTTTAAAGGTTTTGTGTCAATAGTCAACAAAGAAATGAGTGCCAAGTTTGGGCAGTTAGTAGAAAGTGCAGAGGAACTTCTGCCGTGTCTACCTTGGCCACCAGCATATGAAAAGGACAAATTTCTACGACCTGACTTTACTTCATTAGATGTACTTGGCTTTGGTAGCAGTGGGATCCCTGCTGGCATCAACATCCCTAACTGTAAGTGCATAAAGAGTCTTCTTCARATGTACTTAATAATGCCGGTATTGAGATGTTATTTGCTCTTTACAGATGATGAAATCAGACAAAAAGAAGGATTTAAAAATGTTTCCTTGGGCAATGTTCTSTCTGCACATTCTGGTGACCAGAAAATTACTTTCTTAAATGAACAAGATGCAGTAAGTTCAATATTTATTGAAACACTTGTGTTACATCGAAATAAGAAGATTTTTTTTTATTGAATATTGAAATCGGAGGGTTATAGTGAAGCAACCCGAGTAAACCCTTTCTTTTGTTTGTGTATTAATGATTGTCGTCATTATTAGGACTTGTACAAAAACCTTAAAGCGCCTTCGTTTGAAGTCCAAGTTGGGCTGCATGAGCTKCTTGGACATGGAAGCGGTAAACTCTTCAACAAGGTATGAATAGAGAGTCATCTTTCCAGTAAATGCTTTTGTGACACGAATATTTGGCTGTTTAGGTTGTGCGCGGATATGTGTTGTGAGCGCCCATTTGTGATTTGTGTGTTGCGCGCAAAAGAACATAATATGCTAAATTGATCTTGTATTTCCAGCAAGATGACGGAACCTTCAACTTTGATGTAGAGAATGTTATGCACACCGAAACAGGAGAGAAGGTACGTCGGTGTTAAAGATGTTAGATTTGTTGCAACATTAGCATCCTTCCGATTAGCCATCCGAAATGAAAATTTCTCATAAGAAGAAAGAAAGTAGTCCCTTTATACACTTTGCGAGCCGTGATTAAATTGGAAGGAAAGAAGAAGAATAAATAACAATTAAGTGTACTCACCAACTCATGTAAAGTCCTTTGTCCTTTTTTTCAGCTTTTACCAGAGTTCTTCGTTTCTTTTATTTTCCATCGCTTTCTTTTGACTCTTTCTACTTCATCTATACGAAAACTACGCTGAGAAATTTGCGCGCATTATTTCTTCTAGCTCGTCGTCAAGCTTCTTCCTCTCTTATTCCACTTTTGGTTGTTTTTTTTTTCCTTCACCTCTCCTGTCATTGACAACTTACAGTTGCAACTGATGTGAACTGGATAATGAGATGAAGTCACAAACGTTGCTATCGCAACCGCGCGCTACTGTGACGTCGTAACAAATGCGCAGCGCACAGATTATTTCTATATGGCGCTGTTCATAATGATTGACGGCGCAAATTAATGTTATTACTGATAGATAAAAAGTTGGTATACTGAGGGCGAGAACTGGTACACCAAGTTTGCTGATGTTAGTTCGTCTTATGAAGAGTGTCGAGCTGAATGTGTCGGGATCTATTTATGTCTRAATAGAGAGGTCCTCAGGTAGAATTGATAATCATCCTCAATTTAGTTTATTTGTTTTGAAACTGAATGAATGTGTTGTCTTTGGCAGAATATTTGGCCACGAAGGCGAAGCCGCTGACAATATTATTTACATCAACTGGCTCAACATGGTTCGCGCTGGTCTGCTGGGGCTTGAGTTCTACACACCGGAAAATGACGCTTGGCGACAGGTTATATATCTTAATTGTCGTTTTGGTTTCTCTTTTTGGGACTTGGCTTCTTKACATTTTTCTTTTTTTCACCCTCATTTACTTTCTTTTTGCAGAGTTATTTTCATTCATGTTCCTTGCTACTTATCCTTTTAGTTTTCTTTGCTTTCTTTTTCTTATCTTCTCGTGTATTTTTCTTTACTCGATATTCACATTACTTTTTTTGATAACAGGCCCACATGCAAGCGCGGTACGTCATTTTGGGTGTTCTTCTTGAGGCTGGACAAGACTTAGTGAAGTTAACAAGAACYACAGGTTCTGATGGCCAACCCGATTTGCTATTGACACTAGATCGAAGTAAGATCGAGACTGTGGGTAAACCAGCCATAGGAGATTTTCTRAGAAAGCTACAGGTAATAGTGTTCATTGTACTATTCCATGTTTTCAAAATAGGACACCGCACGCAATGTACTCAATAATTGATCGGATTTTATGTAATTTCGAAGGTTTACAAGTCGACAGCAGACTACAAYGCCGGAAAAGCTCTTTATGACCGCTACTCCAAGGTCCAGGACGAGTTCCTGGAATATCGTAAAATCGTCCTTGCCAGGAAGACACCACGACGTATGTTCGTCCAGGCAAATACCACTTGYMAAGGTAACCATGTTKACAACTAAATTTTACCGGATGAACGTCGAGTTTTAATGATATAATGTGYTTTTTGTGTGGTAATTTTTGGTGAATGATTTTTGCGCAATCATCTGTGCTGCTAATGACATGATGGTGATTACAACTGATGATGATACTTTTTGAAGACATCAATAATACTTATTAAATTTGAAATCTCATTTCTTCTCAGATAACACTGTATCTCTAATCAAATATTCAGCCGACACGGAAGGAATGATCAAATCTTTCACGGCACGCTTCCCCAGTGATGACAGTGTTTTGGAAGAGTTATGGAAAGCTGATCAACCTCACCACAAATACTACTAATCCGCGGRACATCGTTATTATTAATAATGCTTACTCKTAACCAGTSTKCACTCGACGCTCTCTGCAGAGAGGGCCTTGGGAATGAGGAAGAGGAACATGATKAGCAGTCTGTATTCGGTGAATAGGCGCTGAATGATGGTTTGAMSATGTCATGCTAGTGTAACACTAGAGCCTTCGCTGAAGGCATGTAATTGTCTGAGAATCCTAAATAGTTGCTCAATCTTCTTTTCTTCACGATCAAATGTTATCARTTTGTTCCAAGCACTCACTCMATGCCCGATTRCACACACTTAGGTGTTTAATTGGCGTGAAACAAATTGTCATGCGCGATAGTCAAATATACACAAAATAAATGTTKTTTTTCTTTACTTGTGAAATATTCTTTATCGTATTCAGAACGCTAATATTGTTACTAAGCTAATTGTCTAAATGTGTGCTCCTACCMACAGATATACATTTTTTCTGTTCATCTGCCGTCTTGAAAATACATATCTCTGCGGGCTTTATKGGAACTCACTAGAATAGTACATAATGAATCATATTCTTTAGTATGTCTGGGGTTATTTTGTGTTGGGTTGGGGAAAGAATTAACCTAATGAGCGGCGGCCATTTAACCTTACCATAAGAAATGTTTTCATTCAAAGCTGTGGTATGTTTTATTGTGTTGAAATTTCAGGGCTGGTTTCCGGATTAGAAACCGCATCCCTGGGGCTAGGAACTGACCANGTTTTCTTGCTGGGACTCTTTGACACGAATTCTGGGGCGGTTTAGATGGATTTTGATTTACAACAACAACAAAAATGAAAAMAAAAMAAAAATTCAAATACTACTGCAGKTTATTGGAGCCTCRCCAAGAGCYTTTGCGCGATTTTTTCGCACATACGAAAATTCGCCATCTTTGATTTAGAACCAATCAAAGCAACWTCGTTTTACAAGAGATTATTTGTAATACAGAGAAAACGATCTCAAATGGTGTACAGGGACCCGAAATATGGATCGAGAACTTTTGTTCATGCAYGMRCGAMCGASSRARRRA